CTTACGGTAGGTGCGTTGGTGCTACGCGCACCCGCTCACCTTCCCTGTCCCGAGTGGTGGGCTTTCATTCTGCTTTAAGCGACGCTGCGTGAGGAAAGGCCCCTGGTGGGGCAGCCGGTGTGATGAGGAGCGACCTCGGCGCTCAAGCTTCACCACAGAGCCAAGTGCACCCTTTTTGGATGTGGGTTACTGAAACAAACTGTTTGAAATAAAACTTTTCCAGAGCTTTTTGTTACAGAGGCACCTTTCCCCCTAAAACTTGGCGGGAGGAGGGGAGAAGAAAACCCTCCTCTGCTCTACGAGTAACTGGTCAGGGGCCACCATGACAGATGCTGAGACTCAGCAGGGGCAGCGGCAGAAGATGGGGTAACCAGTGGCCTGCGAGCCCTGCTCCTCTCCTAGGGCCCTCCCTGGTCACCCAGGCCTCCTGCCCACAGCCACGAAGCCACTCTGGGGGGGAATGTAACTGCTGGTGACAGTGGGCAAAGCTGATGTTGCCACAAGCAGGAGCAAAAGGGCAAATGTTCAGGGAAAGGAGGCCACAGAAGATGGCAAGGAGCCTTGGAGAAGAACAGTGCAAAAACGATGGAGGTAACAATGTGGTACAATGTGGACAGTTCAAAGTGAATGCATGTTTTAACATGAACAGTATGGTGTAGTTTAAAGAGGAAAAAGTATGTGAATAGACATCTGGTGAGAAAGTCCAGAGAAAAACTGTGGTGAAAATAAATAAGGGTATAGGGGGAAGATAAGCAGAGGGGAAAAAAGCTATACCAGGGTATTCTAAACTTGGTGTTATTTAGCAGACTCCTGTGACCTGGAGCATTGTTCAGTGAGCAGTGCAGAAGGGGCAGGTGTCCTTGTGAGACCTGGCCAGTCTGAAGAATTCATGTTTTTAGCAGAAGAGAAACCAATCTTCCTCCACCTGCTGGTGGGAAGGAACATTTGCTGCTTTCTGTGTCCATAAGGAAGAGGCAAGGACCAAACGCAGCAGATCTGGGAAGAGACCTTACAAACATCTTCAGGTTCCCCCCCTCACCAGACTGCAAACGGAGCTTTAGGCTGTTAACATTGTGTTGGTTGATCTTGCTTGCAATCCCTTAATGTTTTATTACCTCCATCTGGGTCTTGGGATACCTCTGTCACAAAAAACAAAGTGTTTTTTTTGTGTTTTTTGGGTTTTTTTTTTCTTCCTCAAGAATTAAGAACCGCGAGGATGAAGTGACTGCAAGGCAGGTGGTAGGAAAAAGAGCAGGAGGGGCCACGGTGCTGCATGCCGCAGCAGCCTTGGCCCCTCTGCACTGCTGTGACGATGCTTCGGTATTTGCTCATGCCAAAAGTGACTGGGATTGCAGTATTTTTTGTGGGTCCCAGTCCCTGAGAATCCAGATCCCCAGGTACCTGCTTCTGAGCAGAATTGCCCTGCTTTTCTGGTCAGCACTGTTCAGAACACACTTTGGGCTATGAAATGTGCTGGTCTGGTGCCAGGATAATTAAAGTGGTACTGGCTGCAGTATGTATGCAGCCCCATAAGCATCAATATGCCTTAGACCAGTTTACTCATGTAAAATTATTGGCATATGTTAT